ATCTGCTTTTGGCTTAGTTGACCTTTTGCTAATTTTAGCTTTTAGTTGACTTTTTGCTAATTTTAGCTTTTAGTTGACTTTTTGCTGCTTTTAGCTTTTGGTTGACCTTTTGCTACTTTTATCTTTTAGTTGACCTTTTGCTAATTTTAGCTTTTAGTTGACTTTTTGCTGCTTTTAGCTTTTGGTTGACCTTTTGCTACTTTTATCTTTTAGTTGACATTTTACAGCTTTTAACTTTTAGTTGACCTTTTGCTACTTTTCGCTTTTAGTTGACCTTTTGCAGCTTTTATCTTTTAGTTGACCTTTTGCTACTTTTAGCTTTTAGTTGACCTTTTGCTACTTTTATCTTTTAGTTGACCTTTTGCTACTTTAAGCTTTTAGCTGAATTTTATCTGCTTTTGTTTTAGTTGACCTTTTGCTGCTTTTAGCTTTTAGTTGACCTTTTGCTGCTTTTAACTTTTGGTTGACCTTTTTTCTACTTTAAGCTTTTAGCTGAATTTTATCTGCTTTTAGCTTTTAGTTGACCTTTTGCTAATTTTAGATTTTAGTTGACCTTTTGCTGCTTTTAGCTTTTAGTTGACCTTTTGCTGCTTTTATCTTTTAGTTGACCTTTTGCTGCTTTTAGCTTTTAGTTGACCTTTTGCTACTTTTAGCTTTTAGTTGACCTTTTGCTACTTTTAGCTTTTAGTTGACCTTTTGCTAATTTTAGATTTTAGCAGACTTTTGCTGCTTTTATCTTTTAGTTGACATTTTGCTGCTTTTATCTTTTAGTTGACATTTTGCTACTTTTAGCTTTTAGTTGACCTTTTGATGCTTTTAGCTTTTAGTTGACCTTTTGCTACTTTTAGCTTTTAGTTGACCTTTTGCAGCTTTTAGCTTTTAGTTGACCTTTTGCTACTTTTCACTTTTAGTTGACCTTTTGCTGCTTTTATCTTTTAGTTGACATTTTGCTGCTTTTATCTTTTAGTTGACATTTTGCTACTTTTAGCTTTTAGTTGACCTTTTGAAGCTTTTAGCTTTTAGTTGACCTTTTGCTACTTTTAGCTTTTAGTTGACCTTTTGCAGCTTTTAGCTTTTAGTTGACCTTTTGCTACTTTTAGCTGTTAGTTGACCTTTTGCTACTTTTCATTTTTAGTTGACCTTTTGCTACTTTTAGCTTTTAGCAGACTTTTTGCTGTTTTTCAGCTTTTGGTTGAACTTTTTTGTACTTTAAGCTGTTAGCTGAATTTTATCTGCTTTTAGCTTTTAGTTGACTTTTTGCTAATTTTAGATTTTAATGGACTTTTCGCTGCTTTTAGCTTTTGGTTGACCTTTTGCTGCTTTTAGCTTTTAGTTGACCTACTGCTGCTTTTAGCTTTTAGTTGACTTTTTGCTAATTTTAGCTTTTAATGGACTTTTTGCTGCTTTTAGCTTTTCGTTGACCTTTTGCTGCTTTTAGCTTTTAGTTGACCTAGTGCTGCTTTTAGCTAGCATTTTGCTTTTCTCTGTATTTTACTAGCTCTTTGATGGTGTTAGCTCTTAGTTAGATATCAGCCACTTTTAGCTAGCATTCTGCTTCTTTTAGCTACCTTGAGCAGATTTCAGCWTCAGACTGTATTTATGCAGGAGTTAAAACATCTCTTTTCTTGCTCCATGTTTTGAGGAACTCTGAGGTGTTTTTGGTCTCAGAGGGAAGAAGGGCTCTCGGTGCGTCCTGTAACATCTCTCAGCTGTAAACATCCATCAATCTGCTCGGTCAATGAAACTCCTCGGTGGCAGCTTTTCCCAAATAGACCTAACAATCTGCTCCGTGTTCATGTCATGAAGCCACTTCCACAGGTGACCTTTAAGAGCAGCTGAACGTCTGCTTTGTGTCTGAACCCGCTGCTGCTGCCAGGTAAATGTCTCCCCTCGGAGCCCAGGCACACAGGCCGAGCCTTTATTTATAAAAACTGGAGTCTGCAGAAAAACACAAGCTGTCAAAGCTGAGCTGCAATTCTTTTATTCAGTCATATCTGAGTTCAGCACATTTGTTTCTGTGGAAGAAAAAAAAAATCCCACCCATGTTTTGTGTTTGTTGTTCCTGATTTTATTTTGTTTTGACAGCTTCAGTTCAGAGGCTCAGGTTAAAAATGTTGACCTGCTCAGCGTCTGAAACACATCTCCCATAAAAATGAACCTTTCTGTTGTCGGCCTACACGTCACAAACATGCTGAACAAACACAGGGACGTGATGCAGCTCCTATCATATGATGCTGAATATAAAAGTGCGACTGTGCCCGCAGAGTAAGAGGATGCTGCTATTTTGAGCACAGAGACTTGTGATGTGGAGAAAAGCTGAGCTGACTGATGGTCTGCAGTCTGTCAGTGTCAGGTCACTTATCAAGCTCTCCGCAAACACACCTTCTGGGAGAAATCCTTCAAAATTCAACACTTCTGGAACGTTGCAGCCATAAAACACATGAATCAAGAACAGGAAGTGGCTCAGAGCAAAATAATTCATCACAAAAGTCTTTTTCATTTTTAAACTTACAAAACAAAAACATTAGGAGCAGGGTGAAAATTTTAAATACGTATTTCCCCCACAATCATTAATTAGAATGCTTCATGAAAAATGTAAGGTTTAATATTGCAAAATTAAAATGAAAAAGTTTATCTATAATTTTGTTAACTTAAGCTTTGGTTTTACCTTTTTTTTTTTGCCAGCTTTAGCCTTTAACTGTTGTTTAGTTGGCTTTATTT